GAAAACTATGAAGGCACACATGATTTTCATAACAGAATACAGCTGATATATAACAAGCCAAGTAACACCAAAAACTCCTTGGGATTTGGCTTCCTCTGGAGGAATTCCCTGATCCCTCCAGGTAGTGACTTTGCCATAACCAGCTGAGTTCTTATGATATATTCCTGCGGCCCGCAAGAAACAGCTAGATAACCAAGTGCAGTTCCGGTGAGGGCGCAGCATCGGTAGTGTAGCAGAAACCCTATGTCTTGAACCAGACCAATGACTCTTTGGAATGAACACTTGCAAGTAAAGATGTATGGATAAAAGGGTTTACTGTGTGACTCACTGAGTCGTACAACAGCTTCCATGATGAAACTGGTTTTTTCCTTCTCTCCTTTGTTTTTTTCTTTTTTCTCTTTTCTTTTTTATTTATTTTTTTTTGTGGAGAGGAAAGTTGTAAGGACAGAGGGCAGATATGAAGGGGAAATCAATGGGATGGAGATGCATGATGTGAAAGACACAAAGAATAAATAAAAAGAAAGGAAAAGAATAAAAAAGTATAAATTTTAAAAAAAGAATAAATAAAAAGAAAGGTAAAAAAGACTAGCATATCTAACTGAAACATGGACAAGAAGTGGAAGGAGAGATGGACAGAGATAAAAAATAAATGAACAGAAATGAGAGCCAGGGGTAGTGGGATACCTCGTGATCTAAGAACTTGGGAAGCTAAGCCAAAATAGCATGTGTTCAGGGCCAGCCTGGGATACATAGTGAGACCATAACCCCCACCCCCACCCCAACCATGACCTCCACAGGGCCCGAGAGTTCTCCAGTGCTGTGCTAGGGAATAATGAAGTCTGCTTCCCGTCCAAGCCCTGGCTGCTCTCACTGCTGGAGTGATTAGACTCGGGGAAATGAGTAATCTCCACCACTGTCCTTACCTGGCAATCTCCCAAACACTGTTTTCTGGTTTCTTCCCATTGATACATTAGTTTTAGTGCATACACTTGTCACAAATTGAAGGCTCCGTAAAATATAAGAAATGATTGAGATGGTAGATTGTAGAGACAAACTATTTCACAAGCCCAAGGGGATAATTTACTTTTCATCTGTTCCTTCTTGCTCAAGATAAAGAACCTCCAACAAATGGTATATAAAGGAAAACAGAGCAGACAGAAGAAGGAAGCTTCGCAATCTATTAACTGAAGCATGAAAACACAGACAACAAGCAGGGCTCAACTTCCGTGGAAAAATAGGTTTAAACCTATTGCATTAAAACATGGTGTTGCACTCATCTAATGAGTTTTAAGGCAAATGGGGCATGAAACATTGCCAAAATATAAAGTTGGTAAAATATCCAAATTACTCCTTAATGCCACTATATGTTTTATTTTATTGGGAGCTGGTAAAGAATAGATTATTTCTAAATCTGCATCATGAGCAAAATAAGTGAAATTGTTTTACGAGAAATTTGTTATGCCGAGTCACGTGACCAGTGGCAGTTCAAAAGCAACTGAAAACCCCACAAAAGACACACATATACCTAATTAATCAGAAAGCATTAACAATATTATATATATATTAATTCAGTCATTTGCTCCTTAAGAATTCAGGACAATGGGGCTGGGGAGATTGGCTCAGTGGCTCAGAGTATTAGCTTGTGCAAGCATGAGAAGCAGAGTTTGACTTTTTTAGCATCTATATAAAAAGTTTTTAAAAATGCCTGTGGGTGCACGTTAGTCTGTAACCCAGTGCCAGCTGTGTGGTGATGGAGACAGCAGGATTATTAGGGTTTCCTGTCTGTCTGCCTATCTTTGGGGTCGTTGATTGACCATCTATCAAGGAATAAGGTGAAGAGTGATATGCCAGAGCATCTGAAAACCTTTCTCTGGTCTTGGCACACACATATATCAGCATACACACCTGCATAGGCCTGCACAGCTGTACATGCATAAGCACACATGCACACACACACCAGCACAATAAAAACAACGAAAATAAAAGTAACAGAAAGAAACCAAAGATAATGATGAAAGAGACATGAAATATGGGGGCATGTGAACCTGTTTGCCCTTATTACTGAGGACTGAACTATAATTTTCTGTTAAGAAACAATAGAATTATTTACCAGACATATTTAGAAAAGAATCACGATCATGAGAGAATCTTCATCTTAGGCTTTTTCCTGGAGTTATTCTATTACATTCTGGATATGGTTGAGTGGAGCATTCCCATAGCTGAATGAGATTAGTAAAAAGCTCTTGGTTGTTTTCAAAATGGAAATGATTTCTTCTAAGAATCCTGGTTGTATTAAAGTACTGTCAAATTACTAATTAGTGCCAAATTAGTGACAGTTCGGTAAGGGCTGTCAGCTCGTAATTTTTTTTTAGCTCCTTATATGTCTGGTGGTTTGAATTTGTGTACCATTTAAAATTATTTCTACTGACTTCTACTTCTTGCTACAACATAACCAACTTTTTCTTCAGAGGTCTTCCAGTGGATGTAGTTTTGTATTTATTCTGCCTAGGTGAAGCAGGGCCAACTTTATAATTTTTATTTCGCCTAGTGTGTATTGCCAGATCTTTCAGTTCTAATAGCTATAAATGATTCTCCACACTCACAATGATGTGCTTATCAGTGAACAAGCAGGTTCCCAGTGTGCAGTTGTGTGTGTCACCTTGGGATGATTTAAATGCCCTTACCGCTCTGACATCATAATGACAGGAGGGGCAGTGGAAAATAGAGCTAACTCAGCAAGAAGGAGAGAATTCTGAGTTGCTGTGTCTAGCAAGAGTGAGGAGTTATTTGTTTTATCTTCACACAACCACACGGCAGAAGACCCAGCTAGAAACTCCCCACCTCCATGATTTTCCCTCAGGCTTTTGGAACTGGTGCCTGCTTCCTGGCATTTTTTTTAAAAAAATATTTATGTCCTTGGCTTTATCCTTATACCATGCCTGGGGTCCTTGTCTCACTATCCTGCCCTAGCGGGCTCTGCACCTCAGACTCCTTGCACGTTAAAGTCCTTGCACTTGGATTCTCCTTTTCCAGTGTGTTAGTTACCTTCCTACTGCTGTGATAAAACACCACAACAAACACAACTTATAGAAGGAATTACGTAGGCTTGCAGTTGCAAAGGCTACAGTCCAAGGTTGTGGAGTTGAAGGCGTTCTGGCAGGAGCAGGAAGCTAAGAGCTCACATCCTCAACAGCAAGCACAAAGCACAAAGTACCAGAAATGATGAGAGTCTTTAAGCTCTCAAAGCCCTTTTCCTGTGACATACTTTCTCCAACAAGGTCACACCTTTTAAACTTCCTAAGCACCATCAATAATTGGGGAATCAAATATTCAAATGTCCGAGACTATCAGGGACAGCTTACTGAAACCACCACATCCAGGCCCTCATATAATACTATATATTACATCTAGCCAGTTGGTCTCTAAAGGATTTGGTGAATTAAATTTCCTACCATTGTCTACCAGCAAGTTATAATACAACTAGCATACAAACAAAATTGTATCAGAACTGAAATGAAATTTGCCTGCTATTCAGTTTCTGCTTCTACTTTTGTGGCACCAGAACACATAATTTGCCACTGAGTCTCCATGACAAGAAGAAAGTGGAGAAAACTTCGCTGAAAACTTCTTAAGTCCATGTCTACAGTATGTTGTCTTTAATGGGATTAAGGACACTTTGCTTTGAGATTTGTTG